TTCCCTACTCATGAGGATCCTACCCTCTTGATCAAATCACCTCCCAAAGGCTGTACCTCCTAATGCCATCACCTTGGGGGTTGGGTTTCAATATAAGAATTTTGGGATGATACAACATCCAGACCGTAGCTGGTGCGTTCTGATCTTTCGAAATCTCAAGGCCATGGTTTTGGAGTTGTTTGCCTCCTGTACAGATTCACTTCTGAAATGACCAGTGGCAGTGATATACATGATTTGGTATATATACAGCTTTATAGTTTGGCATTTAGTGACAGAACTGAAGTATAGCTAAAACTTTTTTATGGAAAGTTAGAGTCATTTGGCAGAACTTTCAGCAGTGGCCACCGTGAGTTTAACTTTATAAGAACTAATTGCCCCCAGGCCAGCAGGTGGTGTGGTGGTGGTGGTGGTTGAGGTGCTGGACTCCCATGTGGTGAACCACAGTTCAAGTCCCAGACCTGTGGTAGCTTGCTTTCTCACTTGCTCTCTCTCTTTCTCTCTCTGGTGAGCGCGTGTATCCTGTAGAAATTAAAAAATAATAGTAATGACAAATAAACTTAAATAAACAAGGCTTAGTAAAAAAAATAACTAATTGCCTCCAATGGAATATGAAGTTCTATAGAAAATATTCAGAGGGCAAATTCTGGCATTATACATGAACAAGAAATGACCACCTTGATAAGAGTTCAAGGCCTTTGGAGAGAAAAATCAATACATACTGTCCTGATGTTTCTTCGCTACAAAGTATCATTGATGAATTGTGTTGATACTGAATTTGGATTCATTGTTAATTTTTTCAAGAGCGCAGTTTAAATAAGAGTTAACATGTTGCATTTTTTTCTGAAGACTGAGTTGGGGAAAAGTAGAAAGGCCAGTTTTTAATAAATTACAGTTCCTACTAATTGAATGGAAGGCCGTCACCAGCAGTGCAGGCCATCTTCCCAGTCATCCCTCATTGCTTCACCTTCTTTGTCCAAGTATAAACTACAAACACAGATTGATTGAATCTCTCCTCTCCCCTGCCCAAACCACAGACGTTGGTGGGCCTGTATTTCTCTACTAAAATAGTTTTAGTCAAGGGAAAGATTGGATTACTTAGTATTGACATGTTGCTTCAGGGAGTTTTCTTGGATTCAAAGCATATCTTAACCTTGCTGATACCTGTAGTTCTGTGATATACTTAAACACACATTTTCTCTTTTGAACTTCCTGTTAGCGAGGTGTAGTGGAGAAGTATGCACATGTGATTATCTTTGTTTCATAGATTAGTACACAAAGCTTCAATGCCATTGTTTCGGAAGTTAAGTGCTGGCGCTGGTACAGGAGACAGGTCTCCCACAGCTTATGTTCTTTCTAATAGTTCATATCCGACAAATAGATAATGAGAAATAATTATGTGGTTAGAGAAGAACAGTATAGTTAGAAATCAGTGGGTAGAAAAGAAAAGGGGATCCTAAGCATCAAAGGTTCTCACTATTCTGGCATATATGTTCGTGTGTGTGTGTTGACATGTATACATATATGTCTCTGTGTATTATATTTTGCCCCATGTATCATAATTTAATGCTCGATTCTTTTGAAAATAAGAAAGCTGTACAGTAGTTTTTAAAACAGTGGAAGAATCTCTTGAAATTTCACTTCATTTCATTTTTTTCCCTTTTCCATTTCAGGTCTTTCATTTTTCTCCACAGGAATCCAAAGGGGAGAAGACTTCGAATAACATAAATGCAGGGGCAGTAAAACCAAGGGGAAAGGGCTAAAGGCAGCTCTGAGTAAGTGCTGGGAAAAGAATCTAATCCCCAGGGGTAGAGAAAAGGAAAAAGTCTAGCGGGTACCTGGAGTAATTGACCTCATTCGTAGCATGGCTGCGATGACACTCAATTGCAGAGTTTGATATTGTAAAGGATCAGAGGACTGTGGGCTCTGCTTGAGGCACTTTCAAACCTCACTGCTCTATCTAAATTGGAGCTGAAGCCTGTGGGATGATTGACTTTGTGGCCCTGAATAGGCAGGCCCAGTAGGGAAGCGCGGAGACAGTAGTGCTGGTCTGGCCTGTTCCTCCTCTCCCATTGTCAGGGGGATTGGAAGAGTGAAACCAACTTGAGAGTCACTCCTCAGACTCATTTTCACCTTACCATTCAGAAGCACCGGTCTGGAACTTAGCAAGATAGCTGGGTGGAGGGATTGTTATCTTTTTGATGTCTCTATACCTTTTTCTTATATGTACTTTGTAGCAAGGGCCAGAATAGGGACTGCTGAGAAGACTCAGAACGAAGTAAAATTTTGACCCTTTATTAACTACTGAAACTCTCTCTGCCTCAGTTTCTCAACGGTTAGAGATAATTACATTGTAGGTGGGAAAAATACACAGGTTAGGGCCAAGCACAAAGGAAGTGCTATATAAAGGTTTGTGCCAGAAGTTGGAAAAGTGAGCAACACACCACATGCACACGTTTATATATTCTGCTCCACCTAAATAATAGCACCTCCACCAAATTTAATACATGTTTTGTTACTCGTTACTAGGTTTTCCATTTTTGCCCTTAGATTTTATTCTAGGATTCAATTTTACCATGGACTTCCATCTCCAGAAGATGCAGGGAAATGTAAGTAAAGACATGACCAAGGCAAGGCGTAATACATACAGATTTAGATGGATTTTTGTGAGTCTGTTAATACTAGGTGAGAATCTTTCAAATAATAGTGATGAGAAAAGACACAGTGTCTGATGTGCCGGTCACGTTTTCCTTGCAGCAGTTTTACCTGTACTAAGCACATACAGAAATATTCTTGGTGCTACATTTTCGTGGGTAATAAAAGCTTTGTAGTGCTTTTGCCTTGCACAGAACTTTATTTTAAAATCCTCTCATGTTTGAAAGAGCTATAAGGACTGATCCTCACAGTGTATGGTTTATATTTTCTTGACAATTTTTATAATTACATTGATTGATTTCTGATCATTTTAAATGGCACCGATTTTATTAGAAAGTATTTTAGCTTATGATTACTCATTTTGGTGTGGTATTTTGTGAAGAGTTCTTGTTTTTGTTTATGGGAGGACAAATTACGGATCGTTGGAAAAGTCATGATGTATTATTTCATGTTTTTCTTTGCAAAAATGCATCATGAGTTTTTCAGAGACCCAACGGATAAAACAACAATTTTTCTTTCTAATGGCCAGAGGGCGTGTGTGCTTGCCAGAAAGAGACAGAAAGAGAGTCAGAGAAAACGCCCCAGGGGTTTACTAGAACATGCAATCTCTTCTCTTCCATTTCTCTGATAAATCAGGATGTGGGCACACATGCATGGGCCTGACATGTTTTATCTTTTTTTTTTTTAATTTTAATTTAATTAATTTTAAGGTTTTTGCCACAGGGCACGTGTACTTTTTTTTTTGGGAGAGATTTTCACTGTAGGGCGCGTGCACTCGCCAGACAGACAGAGAGAGATATAGAGACAAAAAGCGAGAAATCACCCCCCAGGGGGGGATGGTCACGCCGCAATCCCTTCTCCATTCTCCTCTCGGGATCTTGAGCCCGCATGCACACGGTCCCGGCGTGAGTTTTAAGCCACCGGGTCCGGGACACGAACCGCGGTCGACTATGTGGGAGTCCAGCGACATAGCCATTACGCTAACTGCTGGTTCCCAGGGCACGTGTACTTTTCAGAATGAGATAGACAGTGAGAGGGAAAGTGGGAAATCACCTCTTGGAGGATGGCCACACTGTAATCCCTTCTCCCAGGATCTTGGGAATGCAGGCACATGCCCCTGATATAATTTTCAAGCCACCAGGCCCAGGAGTCAAACCATGGTTGGCCATGTAAGAGTCCAATGACGTAACCGTTATGCCATCTGCTGGCCCCATGTGTTCATTTTTAAAAGGCACCAAAATTTCCAGAGGTCGTTCCTCCTTGGTTAGAATTGTTACATGCCCTTTCCTAAATTAGTAGGTGATGAGATATGGAGTTATCATTAGCTCATTGGTTCTTTTTTTTTTTTTTTTTTTTTTTTGAGGGTTTTTTTTTTGAG